ATATGTACGTAGGAAACCGGCCCGGTTTACATGACTTGAAGTTGAGTATTGTTTAATTAGTTGGTCCAAATTCATAGACTAAGAGAAAGATCGTAAGCCCCGCTAGGCGAACCCACCACCATAATACCAAAAAGAATAGCAATGGGTTAGAACCACTCGCATTCAGTCCTTTATCTCCTTGAGGCGGATTGACCCCCCCCCCCCCTTGGATTCTAAGCACATGCCAGGGGTCCTAGGGCAGGAGTGGACGCACTTATATAGCATTCTTGAAAACGCCACTTACTTATTGCTATCTCCTGTACAGAAGTAGCAGGTATAAACGTAGCAGGTATAAAAAAGGAAGCATGCGGTGAGTGTGGATCGAAAGCATGGCCATCAGATTAATGATGAAGTATTACTTTAGTCTTGATCATGTGTGTTAGTACAATGCTGATAGAGTGGAGGTGGAATTAATTACCTGACGTTCTCCCAACTGAACTATCCCCGCTTGATGAAAGAATAACTCGTGTTGTTGATCATTGTGACCCAACTGCTAAGCTTGGAACAGGGAATAAGGGTGACGGAACCGAGTGGTCAGATCGGAATTGTGTGGAAGATGGAGTATGTAGGTTACTCTAACGAATGTGGGAGTTGTATAGTATAGTGGGCTAGTGCTGCTCCAATAAGATCTCTCCTAACCAACATATTCCCTGGCACATCGATCCGGTTTAATAATAGCGGCTAACGAACTACGGATTGATTTGCCCACTCACCCAAGCTTCCAGTTGATTCGGGTTCTATGTCTTTAGCCAGGAGTAAAAGTTGCCTGAAGACACGATTCCGAGTTGGAAGTGAGACATGGTGGCATTATTTCGTGCGGCGAGGAAATATATTGTACACCGTTCGAAAGAGTCTGTGTCTCAACTACCCGACGCACGCTGAATTTGTATAGTAATAATATCTGCTAGGAGCGTGTGACTTGAAACCAGAATATGCGCTTTACCATTTCTTTCGCTGTATGTGATTTGGATGGATTTACTACAGTATTATGGATGAGAAAGGGAAAAAATATATATATATAAAATAAAAATTTGGAAGACCTCGAGGCAGCAACAGTGCGAAATTCACAACTTCCTGTTGATTCTTAAATAAAAGCGAAGGCATTAAAGATTTATACTTCGTTTTATGCTTAACTAGAGCTGTATGCTAACTGTTTTCTAGTTTAATTAGATCATTGTCCAGGGAATTATATAGGACCCTTTTTCGTTTTCTATTTTTATACGGGCTTTAAAAGAAATTTTCAATTTAAGTTTAACATATAGAAAATCTGGATACAATATAGCCCGAATAACCTGGCATCGACTAAACTCAGCTTATAGACAGGTTTAGAAGGGTACCGAGATGTACACAGATGTTTATAAAGCGTGCAGGGACATTATTTAAAACGTTCTCAAATAAAACTGAGGCAACATTTTCCACATAGTGCCTCCGTATCGAAATAAAACTCGCGTGGTAGCATTGATCCGAATAAAAGACAGCGTCCCCGAGCTCGGATTTGTTGCTATCCACAGGATAAATAAAGAAGGGTAGCCTGCAACTACGACACGCTCAAACCTAGTCGGTGAACGAACACCGGGTTGCCCGAGCTGCTGAGCAGTGCCGAACGCGAAACATTAAAAGAGGCCGTATGATGGTGATATTTATCGGGCCCAGAATGTTTATGGCGAATAACCCTCAGTTCGCTCTATCCAGCTACGAACTATCTACTTCAAGCTCTAAACACCAGTGATCCGCTTCTTATCGGTGTACCATCGGAACCTCACATAAAGAGAGTCATTTTCAATGTGGGAGCCGATAATTGCCTCGTGTAAATTGCCATGGGTGGAGTCAAATAAGAGAATACCAACATTCGGAGATGGAGTTGCGGCACTGTCACGCGTACCAACGGACTGGATCCGGATCTGAGACTGGAGACCTGCATATATAGTCATATAAATGTGAGACTTCGTGCCAGGCTTTAGTTCGTACCGTTACTTGCGTTTGCCTGATCATATACCTGAGTAGTTGGGATGGAAATACGAGGGAAGGTCGGCAACTGTTCGCGAGGCTATTTAGACATATAGACTCCAGATCTCCTAGTTGACTGAAGAGGGGACAAGACCTTCATGGCTCCCTTTGACGCCCTGTAAGATTATTGCAATTTGAATATCCTTCCAAGCCCTTATTACATGAAATAACTGTATCCATGAGTCTCAAAATCTAGGTTTGTTTAACCCTTCTTAACATTCCTGCTATTCCTATTTTTATATAACGAGCGTGTCTGATCGTGCAAACCTGTCATATGCACCGAAACCGTATTTTTCAAGAATCTTAGTAAAACTGTGACGGGTATGCCTGAAGAGAGTATATGGTATCCTTTCTGTGGTGGACAGAATAGTTATGGTAAATTTAATGTCCATAGTTTTTAATAATGGTGTTCTAAAAGTATCTATTTTATGATGGCGGTATTCCTCCATGTGTCGATGGTAGGGTATGTGAGAACAAGGACAACATTAGAATATTCAGCGTTAATACTTATGCATCTTAGTGTAAGAACAGGGTTCTGCGTGACCCCTGGTTTTCACAGTTATTGTAGAAAGTAGTTCATAGAGCGTCAGAGTGTCATAAGTATCTCGCAACGCACTGCATATGTCGGATTCCCGCCGTCGTTAATGGGCCCGGGAATGGAAGTGGTCTCGTTGATATTCCAAACCCCCAGCGCCGGGACGCTGTATGTTGGCATCCATTATTGATGTTTAGCCATTATATAAAGTAGGGCCAAGTGTGATTGCCGGCTGTTCTTTGGCGTGGCAAAAACTACATAGGCTCTATCACGTTGCCCCGAGCCTCTAACCGTGCAAACGCTCAAGAAGAAAGCCCGTCATATATTCGGACTCATGATAGCAAACACCGCATGCGCATTCTCGTGGTTATCGCTTAATGGTCATGATGGCCCCGACGTTGGAGGAAAAGAGTACCAGCGTTCAAGCCGGAGACACTGCTTACAGTGCGTGGAAAGCCGTCGTATAATATAAAGTGAGCCAATTGGAAGCTATTGAATCACTAATTGCGAATTAGTTACCGTGCTCAGCTGAGGAAAGATGGAAGGGGAACCGGTGAAGTGAGCTGAAGTCTATATCCACCACGGTTATATCCATTGAAGAACACGGGGCCATGAGTCATCAAAGGTAAGAAAAGAGACGGCATATTGCTGATACAACACCTATAGAACTAGGACCTGATATAGGGTACTACGGGTATTCGAAAGTGCGGTCAGTGAGTTATATTTGAGGTGGCTTTTGAGTGTTGCTACTTGAGCAACATGGAGGTGTGATCCATCCAGGCAGACTTTACGGGTACCGGTCCCGTCCGGGACAAGAATGCTCGTTATATGCATATCTTGCTACACTGGTAGGCTCCAGCTATCACGTGTCGGAGGATTGATCATCGACGCTGCGCCCCTGGAAAGGCTTGGCGCATGAAATGTGCTGTAGGTAGCCTGTAGCCTGTAGCCTTGGAGCTTGTAGGCTGTTGACTACCTACAGTAGGTAGCACTAAGCAGGTAGTACCTACCTACAGTAGCGTGTTCTAAACTCGCCAAGTGCGTTGTCTGAGTGGGCTAGGTTCCAAGGTTGTCCCAAGCTTCTGTGGCGCTTCCTAAATTGGGCTTAGCTCGCTTGCCGCTTTTGCTCAGGCTCGGCTCACCCTATTATCAGTAGGTAGGACCTGAGCAATGTTTTTTATGCATGCATTAATGTAAGTTGATTATCATGCATAGTTGTGCATATATATATTATATATAGTCACTACTAGGTATGAGGTATTATTGCTCTATGTACCGCTGTGCCAAGGCCAAGTTAGGCTACCGGTAGTAGGGATGGCTTATAGTGGGGAAATATTCATGTCCGCTTCCAAGATAGGTATGGTGGAGGTAAGGACGGCTATTGGTCTAGGATGTCTTCTAAACCTAATAAAGGAACGAAAACCCTTCAGCTACTTGTTCCAATCTTCTACATCTTTCTACATCCTGGCCGAAAAGGTCCGAGGGACGAAAACGGAGCTATCTGTATAAGTAGAGACCTAGGTCGTCGCCGGCCAGAGAGGGGATTCAGACCTTATGGCCCCTTGAAGATTACTGTAATATGAAAACCAATTCCAAGCCCTCACACGTGCCCTTATAACAGGTGCCTTATTAGTTCAAAAAGAAAATAGCACGTTAGCAGCCAGAGCATCACTAAAGTAGTCAACGAACGCTATCACGAAAAATGAAACCATCACAAGAAGCCTAGCTAGCGATAGGGCGTGAGGCAGTAGCCCTAGATAAGGGTGTACAAGATAATAAAGATTATGATCAGCCGAGGGCAGGATTCCAACCTAACAACGTTGCCAGACGGTCTAGTATGGAGATTATTAGGGTAGATGTTAAGGGCAGCCGTGACAAGGGAATTCATGGCCTGCCTACGAGGGCGTACGTGGTCACGAAAAGTTAAGGAAACACAAGCAATAGATCACAGAAAGTTGCTCGCAGTCACATATAATTTCTTATACTAGGAGCAGAACAGAGCAAAGGCTGAAGCTGAAGGAGAGCTAATACCTAGTAGTAGTTCGGACAGTATTTTGACTTTAAAACGCTACACAGAGCTAGAATCACTACCTCGGCAGCGCAATTGGCTTGAGGACATGTTGACCTGTAAGGCTACCTACTAGTAGGTGGGAGGTGGACTAGGCCCCTCATCAGCCAGCTAACTTGTTAAAACGCTCATCGCGCATAAACGTTTCAAGCCCTGTTTATAGGTAGATCTATGTAGTACTTAAGTAAAGATTTATACTATAGAACAATAAATATAATTTAATAAGTATTTAAGTAAATAGCTTTAAGTGTTAAATAGTCAGTTAAAACTTGGTAATGTTTAGTACTAAAGGTAAAAGGTGGGAGTTATAAGGCTTAATTGTTCTTGTAGAATTTAACGAGCAAGTAAAAGCCCAAAGTGGTGTAATGAAAACACGCCAAGGTGACAGTTAAGTTCCTTGCTAAGGGCTTAATCCCTTCGGGGACGGAGGAGTCCTAGGTTCGATCCCTAGCTTTGGGGAATTTCGGTTTTCTTTTTAACTACTACTACTTAGCCTGCTAGTATTGCTTAACTACTATTTATATAATATTATAATATTTATATTAATATATATTATAATTTTTTCTTTTTTTTTTTTGCTTTTAAAAAAAAAAAACGTTGTTTTATAATTAAGCTAAGTTATAAATAACAACTAAAAATATATATAAAGCTTATAAAATTTTTAGCTTAAAATTATAATTAAACAATAATTAATAATACGCTTTTAAAAAAAAATAAAACAAATATAACGTATTATTATTAAGCTTTAGCTTGTTTTAAGCCTAATTATTTAAACATATACCAGTGATATTAAACTGTTTAACGTGCTAAAATAAACATTAAAAAATAAGACTAAAAAGGAAAGATGTTCAAGAAAATAAAGTATATATGCTGTTCTAAAAACTAGTAAAAAAAGCTGAACAGAACCCCTGAATATATCCTCGTACTAGCACAAGAAGATCTAGAACTATAGATAATCAAAATCGAATCACGCAATCAGTGCGATTAGAACTGTCGCACTGGTACGGATAGGACTGCAGACTCCAGTACACAACTCGAACTATAGACCAGTACAGGTTGGACCAGCACGGGGTTGGTCGACGGACTGGTACGATATGCGTACCAGCACGGGTTCAGACCACGGACCAGTACGACATTCGAACTAGTCTAGCTACAGGCGCCGTACCGGTCCGCGGCCGCACTGGTACGGGCTTGGAACAGCACGGATTGGGACCCCGTACTGGTACGGCTCCAGACTAGTACAGCCTTAGATGGTGGACCAGAACAATGTCCGGTAGTACGTGCTCAAACCACGGACTGGTACGATATCCGAGCCTCTTCTAGCTAGTATGCTGCTACTAGCACGACTAGTACGACCAAGTTAGATTTCTATTATAAAAGAAGCCTTTGATTCATAATTGCGAGAAGCTTAGAAAGCGTGCAACTAAAGAAGACTAGCTACCAACGTTATGGACATCCTATGCTCGTAAGTAAAGCGCGGTGGCTGGCTTAATAGCAGGTGAGTAAAACACCCTCCTTTATTTCTTTGGAAGATGTTGACGTCCTATGTCCTGGTTTTTTTTTTTTTTTTTTTTTTTGGAATTGTTTAACCCGACAGTTTGGATCCAAGGCGTTATCATCTACATAGACAAGAGGTAGGCGGCTACAATAGCTAGTAGCCATCATAGGATATGTTTACTTAAGTAAGCATAAATAACTGCTAGCATAGATTAAGAGTACGTTATACATAATGCTTACACGAATTCTTGGTAAATCTTTAGTTAGTTATAAAGGGATAAAAAAAAGGAGGCAGTAATATATATAGCAGTAGATTTTATTAGCCTTTAAAATATTTCACCGTTTTTTTAATTTGCTTTTTATTTAATTATATAACAACTTTTTTTGTTTAGCTTTTATAAGCTTTTTAAGCTAAAAATATATATATAGTTATAGCTAGCTACTATATAACACCTATAGGACAAACTTATATAAACTAACAAACTTACCTTTAGTTATATAATTAGCTATCCGTGCACACATAAATTTATTTATATATATTTTATACTTATAATATTTCTTTTTTTCTTTATTTTACAATTAATATATAAATAAAACCTTAATTAAAAGCTTTACCTTTATAAAAAACATTAATTATAACATATATAGTTAAACTTAATTAAAGTTTTAAAAGTAAAAAAAAGCTATAACTTAAAAAAACCCATTAATATAATAATAATAAATTAATAAATAAATATATTTTATTAAAAAAATATATTATTTATATTTAAATAAATAAAAAACTTAAAGTAAACTATAAATATATAATAAAATATCATAAAAGCAATAATATTATAATATTAATATTATTAATAAAAAAACATTCTATAAGTTAAAATATAATATAACTTTAGTCACGGCTAGCTATTATATAACACCTGTAGGACAGACCTACCTTTAATTACATGATTAGCTATCCGTGCACACATAAATCTATTTACACATATTTTATACTTACAATATTTCTTTTTTTCTTCATCCTATAATCAATATATAAATGGGACCTTAACTAAGAGCTTTGCCTTTATAAAGGACATTAATTGTAACAACTTTTAAAAATAATAGTTATAACGTTATATAAAAAAATAAAAAATAACTTTTATAAAGCTTAAAATAATTTATTAATATTTAATAATGATAAATTTATAAGTTTTATTTAATCGTTAAAAAATAAACAATAATTTATATATTTAAACATTATAACTTAATAAATAAATACTTTTTATAATATTAAATATATAATAAATTTATTTTATTTATTATATTAAATATTTAAAAACTATAAAAGGAAAAAAATATGTTTTTTAAAAGCTTTACATAAAAAATATATTTAGTTTTAATTTTTATTATATATTTAACAGTAAGTAGTTTATAACTAGCTGTTAAAACAACAATATATCGAACTTTTCATTAATGTCACAAGTAACAAAGTAATTAGGTTAAGTACAACAATAGTAGTCTTAATAGTAGGTATTATACAAGACTAAAGCTTATAAAAGAGAAGAAACAAGTACGAAGTATGTACGGGATAGGTACGGGTATATAGGCTGTCAATCCTGTAGCAGCCAATAGCCTGTAGCCAGTTGTGACAATTAACGCTTATTACACGTTACACTATAAAGAAGGCAAGGCTTCCACAATAAGTGCTTTATTGCATGGAATCTATAAGTAAAAAACTAAAAGAAAAGAATTTGCTCCGCAAATTCTTGTGGGCTATAAATACAATTGTGCGTGTGGCTTGGCTGCGTGGCTGCGTGGGCTGTGTGGCCTGCAAGGCCACACACACCACGGCAGCCGCAGCCAGAGCCAGATAGTAGATTGCGGGTGCAGCACCCGTAACTGCGCCCTAATAACAGCTTCGACCCGAAAGCTAGCCGAAAAAGGCTTACGCTCCCCCTAATATATGCGTACTCCAAACAACAAGTGGTGGTGTGCCCTATATTGTGTGCTATAGATTGCGGTGATGAGGAACTACGGCTTACGTACACGCTGAGAGAAAGTAAGTAGTTGGACTAGTTAATAGCTACACTAGAATGCGTATAAGCAACGGCGCATAACAGAAATGCTAGTATCGTAGCACCAACAAAATGGCACTTCATGGGCTGAGATATAGCGTCGCCAGTGTCGCTAAGCGTAGTCTGGCTTTCGAGGGTGAGGGCTGGATTACCTATAGCTGTCTTCGCTGTCATGTTCTACGTCTTTTTGCTTATGTTCAACTTTATCTTATCTATTTTCTTTGTAGAGCGACTCTTGAGCGACTTCCCAGGAAGTCGCTCAAGCCGTACAAGTACGGACCGTCCTGTAGATAATGTAATCCGTTTTACAATAAACGGTCCATTTCGGTGCAATTACGGTAATACCGTGACGTGTATTAGAAATTATGCAAGTTTTGGTTCATATTGCATTATAAAAGAGGGGGTCCGTCTCAGGCAAGGCTCAGGCTCAGGCTAAAAGCAGCAGGGCTCAGGTTGGATTCCAATTCCGATTCGGGATGGTAAAACCTATCTCAGAGGTACTGGGAGGGATCCCCTGCTCGAACCACCCAAGGCTGGCCTAAAGTCGCGGCAAGCTTCAACTATTCCAATTTCCTACAGTTCCATTGTTTTACATTGCGACCATTCGAGCTGCTTTCGCATTGTGTCGCTTGTTCTCTTCCCTTACCGCATCTCACCCCGTCGCGACACCACAACCGCCCTAATCTGCCCAAGATGGATAACTTCAAAGCCTTCGGCAACACTTTCGGCAGCAGCCTCAGGTGAGTTGGCGAATCTGGCTTGTCGTCATGGCACCGATGGGGGCTTTGTTGCTGATACGCATTCCCGCCCAGCAACATCGGATCTCAGATCACCCCATCCCTCTCTCGTACGTTTCAGTACACCAAGGAGCAGCTCGGTCAGGCCGAGGACAAGGTGGGCAGTTTCGTTCCCAAACCTCTTGTCAATAGTTGACCAACCGCCACCTGCAGACCCAACTCCCTCCGGATTACATCGACCTGGAGAAGCGCGTGGACGCCCTGAAGCAGGTTCACCAGAAGCTACTTGCCGTGACGTGAGTGTCGACCCTTCGAGATATTGCCCCCATAGTACCTGTGGACTAGCCGACTGATCGCATTCTAGCTCTCAATACTCTAATGAAGCTTATGATTACCCGCCCAACATCAAGGAGACCTTCCAGGATCTCGGCCGTACCGTCAGCGAGAAGGTTCATCTCCTTTCCTCGGCATCTACGCCTGCAGAAGCGCAGGCTGCTTTGACCGCGCCCCCATCCGCGAAGCCCCAGCCGAAGACATTTAACCATGCTATTGCCCGTGCGAGTTTGGCAGGCTCCCAACTGCTCCACCAGCAACACACCGGTGCTGGCGAAGACCCCCTGGCCACCGCTCTAGAGAAGTATGCGCTGGCCGAGGAACGTGTCGGCGAGGCTCGTCTTGCGCAGGATGCGCAGATTCAGACCCGGTTCTTGGCTGGCTGGAATACCACCTTGAACACCAACTTGATGTTCGCCACGCGCGCACGTAGGAATGTCGAGAAAACTCGCCTGACCTTGGATTCTGTCAAGTCCCGAGCCAAAGGTACAACCTGGAAGATGGGAGGCATGTCGCCTCGCGAGGAGCACCCTAACTCGGAGGAACTCTCGCCTGAGGCGCAAGAGGAGATTGAGAAGGCCGAGGACGAATTCGTCACCCAGACAGAAGAAGCCGTGGGCGTCATGAAGAACGTACGTTGCCTACGTAAAAGCCATCGTCTGTGGGCCACGGCTAATTTTACTTTTCAGGTTCTTGATACCCCTGAGCCCCTCCGTAACCTGGCAGAGCTTATCGCTGCCCAAGTTGAGTATCACAAGAAGGCTTACGAGATTCTGAACGAGCTGGCTCCCGTCATCGAGGGTCTCCAGCTTCAGCAGGAGGTACGCAGTCATGAGTA